TCTCGGCACCGCAGCGCCAAATCTGCCGCTTAAAACTAAATGCTTTAACTCTGGGTTGCTGAAATGAATTGTTGTTAGACCATCGCAGTTAGAAAATAAGCTGCTTTATTTTACAGTTTCCCTTCGTGTTGGCAAGTTCCATTACACATTTCCTCTCACCCACAATCATGAAATACAAGAATTTAAGAATCATTTCAGTGGGTTGGTAGAAAATACACTTGCATATTAACTTGTTTGCAAAATCCCAGAACAAGCTGTGCACAAATTCTCAAAGGATTTGTAACAATGAAGTGGCAAAAGGCTGGCAAATCCTATTTAAAGGAAACTTTTACAGTCGTCGTTCAACCAACACTGAGAAAGGGAGCTTCCTCCTCGCAATGACTTGTTATTGTGCCTATCAGCTTTGGATTAGGAAAGCCTTACTTTCAATAAGGAATACTCCTGAAAGCAGGGATTGGAAGGGAAGGCAAAATGCGGTAAAGCAGATGGGATGTTATAAAGCAGCAAAACTACTAGGAATATTGTTCTAGAGTAATCTCTGTGTACTTGACAAGAAAAACTCTCCCCCTGCAGAAGCCAACTGCCTAATTGTCCACTTGGTATGGTGTAGTCATCCTGTCCCGCTGCGAAAGCTGGAAATAGTAATTAGCCTTGCAAAAACACCAGGAAGACTCTTGAAGGAGTAATGATGGTTAAGATTTGTTTGCTTTTAATTTAAAGAAAAAAAAAATGCAGGAGTCTAGGCCTTGGATATATTTATCCCTATGCGTTATTCTAAAAAAGGCCATGAACAGTATCGGGGTGGACCTTATTCCAAACGCAGAACATCACTATTTATGCAAACACTTCTTCTGAAACAATTTTCCTGTTTTCATGCTGTATCTAAGCACAATACCTGACCACAGGGCACAGATATTGTGTAAGGGGCAGGGGGGGAGGGAAGCGTGCTCTCTCATTTTCTTTTGTATCTTACTTTTTACCACTGTTCCACAGAAACTTACCGTTCATAAGAGACAAAGACAAGAACCAGGGGAAAAAAATCTTAAGGTTGAAAATTTGAATGTACCTGGGAATGAAATACTAACCTTTGCTTGTCAGTAGATTACCAGTTTTCCTTGGTTCAAAACAGAAGTATTTCTAATTCTCAAATACAGAGATGGGCAAGTTACATGACCTGAGGTGAATTTTGTTTAAGAGCACAATGAGTGTGAACCTCCTGAATGCTGTACTTTCTGCTGTGAAAAAACCTTACAGACAGTTGCCTAGTTAACACTTCACTAACTTTTCTGTGCACATGATACAGGTTGGAATTAATGATCGTTTGGAAGATACATCTAGATGAAGAAGGGAGAACTACACCTGTTCTGGACCTTCTGACTAAAGTACCGGAGCAAGGTAACGTCCTTCACTTCAGAGACCGTTTCTGAGCTTTCAGGCAGAACACCTGTCCCCTTTTTTGGCCAACATCTCTTTAGATAAAATGGAAATCCATCTTGCAGAGCCCAACCAGGCAAACAAACCCCAATTTAGCAAGCAGCTAAGCTTCACCTCCTGTTTAATTTAAAAGGGCTTACAAAACAAATACATCTTCCTCTTCTGGACAGCAGGTAACCTGTGTTATCCAAAACCACAGTTGCTGACAGCTACTTTCAGTAATAGCGCAGCTGTTTGAAAAGAATGTGCTTTGTTACCTTTTTCTTGCAGTCTTGGAGCAGAAGATGGCAACTATTGAAAATGCACCCGCCTCCTTCCGAAGCATGCTGCTTCTGTTTGGGATTGAGACCGCTATTGAGAATCTGATCAAAGTGGTTGGCTTGGAAAAATGAATACCATCACTACTTACAACAGGTAGCAATTTCAAAAGTAGTTTTAATTAAGATATTGTGTTACACAGTCTATAATTTTATTGAATATAAACATTAAGTTATCTTCCATTTAGAAACCATACTCATAAAACATGCTATCTGTACAATTATGGCACGTTATATATAAATTGTCATGACATGAAAATAAATACAGCCATTTAAATACAAAAATGCCAAATAAAATAGTTACATGTACAGAGTGATTTCATTATAAATTTATCTTTCTGAATCTTTAATGTACCAGAGTGGTTTATCTTCTTAACATTTTCTAGATACCTGGAAAGTGTTAAAAGATCATGCACTGTCAAAATCAAGTCCATAAAAATCCATTTCATTTCACAGCTCTGTAAAAGTACAGTGATTTTAAAATGACAAGAGAACAGTGAGAGACTCCTAGAACAAAGAGTTAAATAGCTTTCTCATTAAATTAGGGTGGAAGTAGACAATTTGAAGATTTCAAAGACATATTACACTTAAAAAAAAAGGGGGGCGGGGGGGTGTAACTGTATGAAGTAACTTTTTTCCCTAATGTAAATGTTGAGTAGAGACAGCGTTAAACTGAAGAAGAAAGGACCATTACGCTTCTGTAAAGAGAGATGGAGGAGTTAACTACTGCTCACTGCAGCACTTCGTTTTGATTTCCTACTTCTAGGGGGAAATCGGAGTAGGGTAACACATTACGAAAGCATCACGTTTCATACATTCATCCCTGAAGAAACAAAACAGGTTAGACAGATGTCTTGTAATCTTCCTTCGCTTCCATCAGATGTACCATTAGCTCAGTTGTGAACTCTCGGCATTTTTCAAGAGAGTTCCTGCTCTGCACTAGCTGTCACAACCAAACCTATGCAACTGCAAGTCACATCCTCCTTAGGTAGGGAGCAACAGTTGTTCCTGGAATCAAGGGGCCAAAAACACGAACTGTGGACTCTCAAGTAATACTGAAAGACTTCCTTTTCAAGTCCACAGCTGCTATAACCATGCAAGCAGTACAACTGCCTGCTCCATTTATAAATTATGACAAAGTATTTTATAGCAATGGTGAAATAGGTGGAGAAATCAAGAACTAAAGCAACAGTATGTTTATAATACCATAATTTTAACAATCCACTATGTGATTGCTGAAATAGTCTCCTGCTGTTCTGGCAGGTCAGGAAAAACTGACAGACCAGCTTGGTTTCTGTCAGAATCTACAGGTGAGCAATGCCAGAGATTAAGTTTTGATGAACAGCAACTCTGTAATAAAATATCTTGTTAGATATAAGGCAGACTAATTTCAAGTTTGGAATCCAGTAGACAGGCAAAATTCTTTGCTACTTCATCCACTGACATGTTACTGGTCTAGCTAGTTTTGTGTAACCTTTAGTTTATTTCATATTTAGCTCCTTCTTGCATGAAAATGGAACTGTTTGATCAAGCACATATGCTTCTCTGTGTATGAAATGTGTGTAAAGTTACAGCATAAGAACCCGAAACCTTTCCAGCTGTGGATAGTCCTTCCTTCCTCCTCCTGTCTAACAGTTGGAGGATTTCTGGATTTAGAAATAGATCTCTGTCCCCCCAGGTTTTCTTTGGAAAGAAAGGGTTATTACCACTGTCAACTACCAGCTTATTGCACTGTTGTAGTATTACATTTCAGTGAGAGCAGCCCACGCCCCTGTCCCAGAAAGGCACGCTGTCACCTGGAAGTGGAATACAAGAGATTGCGAACATGGGTCACTGCCCGCAGCAAAGCTCCATTGCTGTGTGAGTGGTGTTACTCTGTATTTCGTATTTCTTCCTTGAGCTGTGCCAATATAGACAGGGTTTTCTGGTTTTGCTTTTTGAATTTCAGGTAAAATGGAACAATTCAAGCATTACATTGAGATCCCAATATATTTTTTTAAATGTTAACCTACACTGTTTTGAAAAACATTACCAGTAAGCACACGCTGTATCCAGGTAACAGCAGTTCAAGTTCACTGTAGCTTGAATAGCATCTCTCTGCACGTTGCAGGGTGTGTAATCCCCAAGTGTATGGGAAAAGCATCTGTAGATTTTATCATTCTACCCTCAGTTTTGAATACATCCTCAGTCTCCAGCTCAGCATCTTCCTCGAGGATGGCTTTTACTGCACCATCTCACAAGATTTCAGCTGCACATATCAACGTTTACCAAGTAAAGCCATCATTAAATTGCTGAAGTAGTGATACGAGCTTAGCTCCAGTACTCATCATGAGAAAGTGACCCCCTGCAGCTTCAGAAAATTGGATACTGTCACCTTTTTTCTGTGTCACTTAAAAAGAACGAGCCTGAAAGCAGCTGGTCGTGCTATGCAGTACGTGGGATATCAGTGAAATAATGCCAACGTTTGACACGATCTGAAAGACCTGAAATAATCTGTAAAACTCAGAACATATTATTCTTATAGCTCAATTTAAATTAGGTGGTTTCACCTTCAATAGCAGCATATAATGTATAGAAAAGACCAGTATGTCAGACGAGTTAAGCCCAGCTATCGCATAAAATTCAAGGATGCTTACCTTTAACCCTTTTCACTTAGTTTCAGAAGCTTTAGGTAGATACAAGGTGATCACAAAACTTCTGGAGGCAGTCTGGTGTTCTTAATGTCATGCATTAGTACTTAAAAGTGTTCCGCAGTGACACGGTAGTTCCACAGATCAGTAACACTTGAGTAGCCACTTCAGTTGGATTTTTCAGTGGATGTAATGCTAAAGTTCTGTATTAGGTTTTGTCAGAGCATTCCCTCTTCCCAGTAGGTATGAGTGAGACTCAAAGCACAAGCTCCAAGGCAATTCTCTTGTTAGTAATTAGGATTTCTATGTTAGTGCAATACTTCAGGAAACCTTTACTTCTGTGCTCTTTCAATTCTAAGGAAGTAGACTTTTAGTATTAATTTGATCTGTCCTCTAGTTCCAAGGTATGGCACGTTATCTGTTCTGTCATATAAATACATTCATTAAGGTTATATAGCAAATGCATGTTTTAGTGCTATTCCATGTCTTTGAAAAGGCATACCAATTAGAAATCATTTCTCAAAGCAAAACATTCACAGCTGAAAAATGCACTGAACACAATAGAAAAAAAATCACCATAATTGTATTCCATTAATCTTTCACTTTCTAATGTGTTCAAATAAAAATAACCTTAAGGAAACAGTTACACTGTATGGAGAACTAGTGTGCAGTCTTCATTCTCCTTGAAGAGATTGGACATAACTGGGTCATCTTTGGCCTGTACATTCTTCAAATAATAGTTTACTATTTTGCCATCAAGTTTGTACTGATGAGGAATGCTTTCATACGGTTTTAGATCGAGGTCCAGGACAGAAACAGAAAAGGTGAATCTTGATTTGGACGTTAGTACCACAGGTCTTTGCTCAGAGCTGGAAAACAAAAACCGTATTGCATATCTGAGTCGCTGAAGCTAACGTTTTTCATTTGTGTATCCTGAGTCCCCTTGCAAAAGTGACTCTAATGTTTATCTTAGAACTTTCACGAGAGCCTAAGAAAATAAACTTCAGCTAACGTAGCATTTAGGAAAGCACAGCTCCAGCTTAACTAGTCTTAAAGTGAACTTGCCAGAGCCTCTTCCAGTCGTTTTCCTTTCAGCTTCCACACAGCTTAAGTCAAAACATTACTGTCTCATCTGTTTCCAGGTGATAAGCGTGCAAAGCAATAGCCTTATTAACTAGCAGAAGCAGAAAGAATCACTGCAACTCCTACTTAGGTTCAAGGCAATACAGATTTAGTATCAGAACCAGTGTCCAAGCATATGGAAGGATGGAGGACGACTTATTATTAAAAGTCAACCATTGCACAAGTCATCTCCCTTGTGAACGTTTCATTCAAGAACCACAGGACAAACGCAGAAAACAATATGCTCTAAAAATAACAAGGCTTTGGTAAAGCAAACTCCCCCACGTAAGAGCAGACTATATAATATTGTGGCAAAACCTCCTGCCTTACAGTGAAAGATGTCACCTCTTGATTATTGCCTTGTTTTTGCTGATGTGCTTAATAAAGACTTCTGGTTTCTAATTAGGCAGTTAAAGGCAACTCATCTTGAAAAACCTCTCATATGAGGACAAGGCAGAAAAATTGTACCTAGTTAAAACCATGTCTATCTACTATGAACAGCCAATTCAAATTTCAAGAAGGGAGTTAAGTATAAAACCTTAACCCTTTTTATCAACTTAAAACTCTTCAGAAACAGACCTCTGTCCTAAATGTCTTAAATCAGAACTCTACCTTACTAATATGCTCACAGCCAAGTATTTGGACACCCCCCAAAAAAAACCCTCACTTTTTTAAAGTTACTTGAATTGACTGAACTGTGCAAACGCATCTTCAATTTCTAAACGAGTAGGAGTCATTCAAAAGCAGGTCTCTCTTACCATTCATCTTGCAGACAGGGTGAAAGGGCAATCATGATGGAGCAGTCTTTAGCAGTCATTGCTATTCTGTACTGCTGCACCTATACAACAGAACAGTAACATGAATTTTCTATTATTTTTGTATTTGCCTTAGTAAAGCATACTGTTCTTTATAAAAGGCATTAGTACACTCAGTGTATTAGTATGTTGGTATTTTAAGAGCTGGAAATTATCTCTGTAACAGATTGTTAGCAGGAGCAAGTGGCTTTACAGCATCCTGTATAAGGATCATGTTTATTTCCTACAGCTGCTTTTCTTGAAAGCCAAAACAGCACCAGCTCATGCAAATGCTTCCTCAGTCTAGAAAGGAAATAACCAGCTTTATTTTTCTCTCCAGAACTGGTGCTAAACATGTTTGTTTTTAACTGCTTCTGCAGTTAAAAGATACACCTCTATCAAGATACACCCTGGCACAATTAAGAACTTTAACCGTACAGACATCTGACAAGCCAGCAGCGATGCTAACACACTAGCCATCTGTTTTCTGTCAGACAGGTGTTTATTAAAATTGACAGACTAAATAAGCTTCAACAACATGCACAGGAAAAGTACCTTTGTTAACGCAAACGCTACCGTCCCGTCATCTTCAGTTGAAAGATCTAGCAGCTTCTCATAAAATGCTTCATTGTAAGGTCCCTCTATCTGTAACGTACTTCTAAATAAATTTTAAAAGAAGATTTACAGACAGCCAAGATGAGTTACTGATTTTCAGTGAGATCTTTCTTCAGCAGCCCAGATACTCAGAAAAAACCAGTAACACCGATAAACATGGTCGGAAGTCTAACACCAATGACCAGTCCCTATTATTCTCATATCACTTAAGATATGCTGTTTAGGGTTTGGGTGTTTTGTTTTGGGTTTGTTGTTTTGTTTTGTTTTGTTTTTTTTCCCTATTATTCTCATATATCACTTAATATGCTGTTTAGGGTTTGGGTGTTTTGTTTTGGGTTTGTTGTTTTGTTTTGTTTTGTTTTTTTTTAAGATATGCGGTTTGGGTGTTTTGTTTTGGGTTTGTTGTTTTGGTTGTTGGTTGTTTTTTTTAAGATGAATCATTCTTAATCTACTGCCAACCTGCGTATCACTACACAAACTATGCTATTTACTGCAAAAATGGGTAAGTTTCAAAATTTCTAACAGTTTGCAGGAGCTCCCAGAAGACTTGCTGAAAACATTGGGGGTATACACTTATCTGACAAGGCCCTGCTCTGCCCGCAGCTTCATAATGTGTGCTAACAAGGGGATGGTTTATTTGGCCCCCTTCCTTCCCCTGTTAAATACCTGAACTCCTGCTGACGAGCTGAACCCATAAAAGCAGGGTTTGCAGCACACAAACACCACACAGATGAAAGAATACATTTTCAAACTATTTGTTTAATCTATATTTATTTTATACAAGTAAGCCACACGACAAGTGATTTCAGCAGAACTTAAGGCCAACCCATTGCCTGTAAGATAACCCTTCAACGGGAGCCCAAGGGAGCTGAAGGAGCACAAGCAGCAACGCCTTGCAAGTGAAGCCAGAGTGCCCTCGTGTGAGCAACGGCAGGATTACAGGCAAATTACAGCCCGAGAATGCAAGAGGCATCCAAGTCAAGGCTTTTTTACAGCGATTATTATTACAACTAATAAGCTTTCTTTGAGAACAAACGTAGCAGCTTGCAATGCCCAGTATTTCATCACCAGGCAAGAAATACCATAAGATAAAGAATCTCGTGCCTCAAGTATGACTTGATCACTTGTGATGTGGGTTACGATCTGGCATTTGGAGCTACTCTCATCACACAACAAGGGCAAGCTGCGCAACTGCAGATACCGGGCCATTACCCGCTCACACCTTCTGTAAGATCTTGCAGGCACAGGCTGGATTGCTGCTGAATACCAAATTCGGGGTTTTATAGGGCAGGTTGTTAGGCAGGCCAATATAGACTGGAGAATGACTGCAAAAACATCATTATTATTGCAGACATAGTCCTAGCTCTGCAGGTACTGAAGGCAGGAGAAACCAACCATCCATTTTACTGTATCTTTCCTCAAATATACAGCCTCCGCTACTAAGGAACAGTGCATTTTCTCTCTCACCCTGTTGTGAACTTCCCATACTCGTTACTTAAAAATTCAGGTCAAAGTGACTGACGTAAAAACTTTTAACAATAAACCTCATCTTTTATGTTATCTGGCATTTCAAGTTAGAGATTCAGAATATGCAATACCATGAAGGAAGGTTGTATACAACATAATAAGAAAGAATAAATGGTTGTGTCTGCATAGAGCCACTCTTGTCTGCATACCCACTTCATCAGAACTGACAAGAAAAGCCATCAAGTCTTACCTCTCTTCAGGAAATTCCTCTAAGTACTGTTCAACTCTACTGTACAAAGGATAGAGTCCTTCAATATCCAGCATGTCAAGCATCTGAGCCTGAAGGGTTTTATAAAGGAGACAACCCCTCGGTAAGCCAGAGCTTTCCAATTTATGTTTACCTAGAAGAAAATGTATTTTCAAATAAGGCAGACATGAGCATCGTCTTTGTTTCATTTTGCCATTACATGTGCTCGTTCACAAAGCAAATCCAAATACTCTGTAGACCAATCACAGGGGAGAACCCAAAACACTTCACTTTCCAAACACTAATGTGCCAGGTGCATGTACTTACCTGCACATTTACACAGCACATATTTGACTGCAGAACAGAACATCTGGTATACAACTCTACAAATTACTCAAAAAACCCAAACCCCAAACCACATGCTTCCATTGCAATCTACTTGTTTGAGTCTACAAGAGAAATTTCAACACATGAAAAACCACAAATTCACTTTCAACAGTATGAACTGTTGGCAGAAAGTAATTCAGCATTTCAGGTATCAGGTCTTTTTAATATAGTATAAACAGATTTGCATTTATTTCTGCGAGATAGCTCTATCTCCACACAATACCACAAAACCAACCAGCAATGAAAAAGATCTTCCTCAAAAGCAGAGTAAGAAACATGCTGTTTGTATAATTAGGATAACTAGCAGCATCTTGAATAATGAGAGGTTTATAAAACTTACACACTGAGGAATTAACACGATTTACAGTTTTCCAACTCTCTCTTCCTATTTCTTTTCCCTCCAGTACTCATACCTTTCTCTTTACCAGGAGTGGAGCAGTAGAAGAAAACAAAATGAGCTACACCCTAGCTGGCGAGGGCTGACAGGAGGAGCAGGGAAAGGCAAGAAATAGGTGTCATGTAAGAGACCAACCAAAACAGCCAGAGTTCATCACATCAACATAACAATTCCCCACCCATTTGAAATAGCTACTTATCAGCTCAAACTGGTATTTTCTTCCATTTTTTCCTCTATCACCTTCTGAATTTATTTTTATCCCTGTCACTAGGTACAGTGCTAAAAGTGCTCACTACAAGGTCATATTTAAAACAATTATCTAGCGGTTATGCAACTCAGAACTTGTTTTTAAAATGTCACTAAAACTCCACTGTTTCCATTCTCACATCAGTATTAAACAGCAACTGAGAGGCAAAGATCTGAATCGTTAGGTGATAACAGTTAATTATTGACAGTGCTCAAGAAATTATTTCTTACCATTTCTTACTAGCTCCTTATTAAAAGCACTTGCTTCACAGTAGCTTCTTCCTTGTGAAACGGGAACTGTCTTCATATCACCTGCCCTGCAGGCATCAGTACTACTTAGTAGCGTCATAGTTATAACGTGGATTAGTTCTTTAACAATTGTCCTTGTGCAGTGTGGTCCACTGACCAACCCATTGGAAGGAAAAAAGAAAGGTTTTAAGTGACGAGCAAGTTCGTTCCAGTCAGAGACACAGTCCTGGTCTTCTTTACAGCCATAAATTAGTTCCCCGTTCTGCAAAGGAGAAAAAAAGATTCAGGCACATCATGAAATCCAGTTATTCGTACTTGGCTAGTTAATCAAAGCATCAGATTTAAAGACACATAGCACAGAAAAGAGTATTAGCGTAACAGTCTGCATACAAATACACACATTCCCGATCTCTTACAAATTTGCCCTCAAGTTTAATCAGATACCACAGGTGACAACCTTTGAGTTAGGACCAAAAAACCCATTTAAGTCAAGTGCTGCTTTCCCAACTTACTCAACTGTAAGTAATCAGAATAATAAAAGCAAACTGATACTTAGCACATTTTCCTATCGCTTCTTTCTGAATAATGTCAACAGTGAAAAAGCACCATGTGAAACAACCTTCTTTTAAAAGCCAAACTGGAAAATGGAAGGCTATAAAAAGGGACAGAAAAGCTGTGAGTTACCTGTACTAACAGAAAAAACAGGATAGTTCATACAAGTTTAAGTAATTCAAATAGTTGCTTTAATACTGGAAGTAAGTCATAAAGAATATTATTTCCTAGACTTAATCTGAAAATCTGCATAAGCCATTAGTTACTGCTTTTTATTTTTCCTACATTACTTTCATAGAGAAGGTAACTTTGCGCTTCCTCAGTGAGGCATGCTGTGCATTTGGCTTGCATGAGTGCTGTAACAGTAATTTCTAAAAATACTTGCGGCAACATGCAAAGTTCTCCATCTTCCTCCTCCTGAAGAAGCACGTAACGTTTTAAAACTTCAGTCATCTTTAAAAGTCCTTTTCTATTAGTTGGTCCTTAGCAATTCTTTCAGACTAAGTAGTTCTGGGGAATTATTACTTACCTGCCCTAACTTGAAATCTAACTAAGAATTTTCCTGTTTTCTTCTTTTGGTGGGGTCCAATAGCGATGGTGCTGATTAGGTGGGTTTCAAGTAGGATCTTGACTGTTCAGATGTTGAAGTCAAACTGTTTTAAAAGCCAAGGCAAAAAAAGCAAGAGGACAGATTTGATTGTTTACCTTAAATATTTTCAAGTTGTTCTGTGCCTCCTGTAATAAGCTCTTCAAAGCAAAGTGCATTCTCTGTTTATTTCTAGGGGAAAAGGAAAAAAAAAAAATCCAAGAATGTTTTATCACAGCCTTTAGATGTTTACACCCATGCCTGGAGGACTCTATGGAATCAGAATTGGGCACCTGAAGTGAACACACCCATTAAGCCTGTTACTCATGCTGAAGTCATTGCAAAGACAAAGTGACTATTCGCAATTAGAACTTCAAATCTGAGTAAAGTAAACAGCTCTTAGGTTTAATGTTATGTAGCAAGAGGCACTGGTACATTAATAAGCAATTATTCCTGAAATAGGTATAAAAAGGTACATAGCACCAGAAATATCCACTGTAAAAGCCAGACAAGCAGGCATTGATCATCCTTAACACTACAGTGAAAGTCAAAGTAATCTGAGAAGGAAATCTGTAACACAGATTTTTTCGGCACAAACATAAAATCAAGTCACACACTTCCTTACCCTGAGAAGAGATCCAATGGGCAGTATTTACTTGGTCGCTTCCATTTTCCATTCGCTACCTGTTGAAAAGCCACACCGCTGCTGTTAATCGCTTTCTGGAATAACTACTCTCAGTTATTTCAATAGTCAGGTGTGTGGCACTAACATCCTGTCTTCAGAAGTCCTATGACATTTAAAACTCTTTGAACATACAAGTCATGACTACTAGCAGTCTTCCTTGCCATATTTAGCTCAAGTCACTCAAATTGCATTCACAAATGGAAAGCATGGAGAAAGGTCACGTTAAATTACAGTAAGGCACAGTTAGATGATTTCAGACACATCGTGGACATTAGTCAAATGAATTCCGTGTGTGTTACATGCTGTTATAAGTTACAGAATGCTGCTGTGCATTCGGTGAGCTGTACTTGAAAGGAAATTTGACACTGGAGTTAACCCAATCAACAGTGTTAATAGGTCCTCAAAGACTAATCTTGTATTTGTTTGCTTCCAGCTTCCCACAGAACTTGTTCCATCTCTCACTAAACAGATTCACACCCAGCAACTCAGATGTGTATCCACCTACCATCTTTAGTCATATCAGAGATTTAAGCAACAACATGCGAGTTTCAACAGGAAAGCAAGACTGGAATAGCAAATAAAGCACAGTACAGTCAAAGGAAAGCAGAATGACTGAAAAAAAAAGTTACCTTTAGATGCTGATGCATACAGTAACGACACACCTTGTGCTTTATCTCCTGTGAAACATGGCTGGAAAAAGGAATGAAGCCACACTTCGGCTAAAACAAACGAACAAAAAAAGATTATAAATAGAAATGTATTTCTTTATATAAATTAAGGGCACACAATATGCAAATCTTTCCAGTTAAAGGAAACTAAAAACCCCAACCAACCAACCCAGTCAACATCCAACACTTAAAAGCTTAATATATATCACTGTATATTACTCCCGCGGCCTACAAAAAAGCCTAGTAATATCTGGGAATTTCCCAGGTTTCGAAAAATCAGGAATTGGAAGAGCGAGGGGGACATTTCACCCTATGGGTCACAGTGAAAGCGGTGAGCTCTGCCTTATCCTGCTGCCGCATTCCTTGGAAATGGCTCTGGTCAGTACGTACTTAAAAAATGCAAACAAAACCCCCAGAAGGATCTTCTCCTATTCAATACCTTAATCTCTATGCAGAGGATTGGCCGGTGCTCCACAAAACGATAGGTCTGCAGCCTGGTAAGATTAGGAAGGCACACTGCATAACCACTAAGAGTGTCCATATCTTTGTCACAGCGAGACTCTGGGGAAAACAGAAAAAACCCAACACAGACAAGAAAATGAGGTGCGTGGATGTTTATTTTACTCTGTGCTTCTCTTGTTCACCAGGTGGGGGGGTGGGAACAAACTCAGAAAGACAGGACACAGTTTAGCAGGCTTTAGCCAATCATGCACTTGCATAAATTCGCCCTCCCCATTATCACACCACCTGTTTTCAGTTTCCTCAAAACTGTCATAGGCATATAGAGTGTCTCAAGAGCTGCTTTTAATGGCTGGTTTCCAGCTCATCCCAAGAAAGGTATCAGTGAGAGGCCTGAAACAGCAAAGGAGTGCATTCAATTGGCCAACAACTGGTAAAGAGACTACAGTATTCAAAGATGTCATCTCATGTTTGCTTACTGAAAATGCATGAACTACCATCCCTCCGTCTAGTCAAGAGGAATCTGTGAAAACTGGCAGGAATATCATAAACTGTTCAGAAGAAAGTGTAAATCTAAACAGAACCTGCAAGTGGCTTCGCTGAACTCCTTAGTCTGTACGTAGTGTTTTTTCAAGGTTTAAAACATTTGCCCAAGGTTTGAGATCATGATGCGCTGTATTAAAAAACAAAACTGGTAAGAAGCAATCAGCTGAAGAACCATTTCTCAATGAGAACTAGTCTCTTCCTAGCCATTCCAGTGTTCACATCAAAATAATAAACAGGTGAAAAGGAACATGTAAGGACCAAAAGCTAGCTTCCCCCTCCTCACAAGCTCGCAACTTAGAACAAGAATTTCCTCTGCTACGACCACCCTTTTAAAAATAGCATTTCTTAATATAGTCCAGATTAACAATCCTGAGAAGCAGCAAAGTAGCACAATGGTTTCAGACTAAGATTAAGAGGCATTATGTAGATAAAGCCTTTAAATAACCTCCCTCCACACGCATCCTTTGGGACGGAGGAAGGTCTGCGAGATTTGAATTCAAATTTAACAAGAACATACACGCCTATATTTTCAGATATCTGTGTTACTAGGAGAGACATACGGAATACATGCGTTCAGTTATAGCTTCCACTGCTAAGAAAAATGTCCATTCTGAAAAATATATTGCAATAGGAAAAAAAAAAATCATCTCGGAAACGGAAGCCTCATTAGGCATCAGCCTACAATTACATGCTGTACTGCACTAGGATGAGCAAGAAGAAACCTTCTTTCTCCAACAAAATGCTGACATTTGTTTTCTTTTTCTAAACTTAAGCTAAAGTACCTCCATGTTCAGCTGAAAGCCACTTGCCAAATCAGGTACACCCAGAAATCTGAAGTATTAGAGAAGTTCCTTCTTAAGGTAGACAGGCTTATTGTGAAAGGTAGTAGTAAATGAAATTCTTTCCTCGAGTTTTAAAAAAATTCCTGTTAAAAATGAACGATGAGATTTGCTGTGGTAAAGCAAGAAATACCACTTGGACAGCTCCTCACAACCACATTTCTTCCTCTAAAGAAATCCCCGTGAGCTGCGGACACACAAAATTTAACTTTAAGAAATAAAATGAAATTCTATCATTCACTTCTACCAGAGTATCATCAATTTTGTAACTTTTATTAGACACTATTTACTTTCCTTGTTAGTTCCACAGTGCCAGAAACTGTTTCTCAAAAAGGTGAGGACAAGTCAGCAATAGAGAGTGTCCTGTGCTCACTATGTACAAACTAATTCAATTTTTTCCTGGATCAAAGGCATCAAAGTACTGGCTACAGTTACCAAGAATTTAATACCACATTCTTCTTCAGGAAATTCTGCTAAAGCAGGAGTTTCTGGCCATTCTCAAGAACATTTGAGAACATAAGATGAACGCACCATGAGGGACATCTTCTCTTTCCCCATTTTAGAGCTTACAGCTTACTGTACTTTTAGCCATACATGAAGAACGATGCACCCAAGCGTTGCCGACTAAGAATGACGACACCAAATTCTGTAGTGCTTCACTTCACACTGAATGCGTCAGAGTTTGCCAAACTTCGAGCCTTGCAGGATGTTCCAAAAGGTTTCACAAGGTCAATGCACCCTTACCTCGCACACTTGTCCCCCTCAAGCTCCGCTGCCCAGGGGACTAGAGAAGCGTACTTGCACTTCACCGCTGGATAGGGACCCCAGAGCACCATGTAAGAGTCGGGAGAAATCAAGCACAGCCCCATATCCCAGAGATGCTCATTAAACTTTAAAGGCAGCACAGCCTGTAAGGCCGCAACCCCTTGCAATGAGACAATGCCAGGTATCAGGAAAGACAGACATGAAAAGCTGGAACGTTAAGTTGCACGCTGCTTGAGTGCTATGACTCACAGGACGCGAGATGCTTAGCCCCAAGTGAAACACTAACATTGAAAACAGGACAGTTTAGTGGGGAGTTTCTGAAACTATCTTCCTTCCAAAGCTCTGCTGCACAGTCCGGGAGAAGAAACTGATGGAATCAAAACAATTATTTCAGGATGCATCTTCCACCTCCCTCACTGACCTTTGTAAAGGACTTCACAGCAAGGTAAAAGCTTGCTCAAGAATTAACATGCACAGGCTTACAGAGGATCCCTTTCCCCAGTTTGATCAAACTAATATCAGATGCAACTTTTAATTCTAGAACACACCCATTTTTTTTCCCCACAACAAGTTTTCAACTTGTCATTGTCTAAATATTGGAAAAACTTTCCTCATATTCTGAGGTATAATGCTTTTTTGCTTTATAATAAAGCAAAATGCTTTACAGCTTGAGGAAGGCCCCCCTTTTTAATGCTATCCCTGGCACTTACCTGGCCTCTCTGGCTGAATTTTTAAACAGAGCTGTCTTACGAAGTCTAAAGGCAGTTGAATAATTTCCTATTAAAAAAAAAAAAGAGAATATATATTTCAACACAAAAATTAATATCCAGTTTGGGGGTCTTAAAATGGAATAGTGAAGTTCAGTGGGTGTTTATACCGAACTATACAGTCAGCAGCTTCTCCCTCTGATTAACCATCTATATGAAGACCTGTACCTGAAATCACATGCGATACTTACTCCACTACGAATACCAAAAACTAATTTAAATAAATGCATGAGAAAGAGCATTTTCAGTGGAAGTTTAATGTGCGTGAAGAAACTTGCATAATTTTGTCCTTTTCACAAAAGAAGAAGTCCCGTTTCATCCCGCCCCATGTCTCGCACCCCACCCTTCCAAGGCAGAATTGTGTAACTCAGGTTGCAGGAGAAGGTGTCACTTTTCCACTCAGGTATCTGATGTTCAGTTAACTAGATCTGGCTGCCCTAAAGAACAGAGTGAGTGGCAAGGAAAAAGGTTCTCTCTGCACAGAAACCTAGACAATTCACATGAACCAGACACCTCCCCTTGTTTTGCAGTTAGTCTAAAAATCTCTCTCTCACACACACCTCTCACCTTATGCAGGGCAAAGAAATGACCCCTCTTCTCATTAGTGGCTTGAAATGGCTCAAACCACAGAGTACAATCCAATCACCTCATCAGCACACAGCAGGATCTTTGTTCTGATCCAAATGCTTCTTGTTTGTGTATCTTGCTTGAGAATATCCGCAAACCCGATTAATTCCTTTTACTGGCATTCAGTGTTCCCCAAAACACTTCAGTGTTTACAGTGCGTAAGTCATTGATTTTAAGAATAAAACATTTACCCCATGGTGAACATAGTTCTCCCCAAAGAACTGCTTCATGACATGTTTTCCAAAGTCTACGATGTTTTGCAGATGGTGTAGTATTTCCTCTGAAGTCTGGAAGACAGAAATATGGTAATTTAACTATGAAATAATGATAAACAACACTCAAGAATACATACGTATACTAGTCAATGATTTAGCAAAGTAGCTTAATTGCTCTACAGAGTTTGGTAGGTCAGTGCACGTTGAAATTAAATGGACACATGAAACGCCTATTACATTTGTTTCCCTACTGCTGTCTGAGAGGCTGGGATAACCAGGAAAACAGTCAGAAGAGGTGATTCTTCTTCTTAAGTTTCAGGGGAAAAAGGACAGAGAAAATGAAGAAGGTGGAAGAGGGGGAGATTACTCGAGATCTACTCTGTCTTCGACCATTATTCTTAAAACAGCTCGAAGAACTGTAATAGTCAAGAGAGATGCACAGCATGCCTTCTTACCAACAGGTGAAGCGCAGGAGAGGCTGGGGGTGTTATAAAATACTTCACCTGGAGATTTGGAAGAGAATGGCCTAAAAGACTGAGCCACATGACAAACCTCTGCATGAACAGGTACAGAATTTGCCGAATCCTGCCCCAGACAATGAAAAAATCTTACTATAATGTCATCTTCCGTTCATTTTATGTTATGTGCCTATAAGGAAATACAAAAGTTCTCCTACAAGACAAAAATGCCAAGCTAGATAGAAACGAAGCTAAACGAGTACTGGAAGCAGGACAGCAACATTAGCCCAGTCTGACTTGGACAGACTTCTGCTCATTAAAGAGGTAGCAGAGAAGCTTTACAACAGTATTATCCCATTCCCAGCACTCCAGCATACTCCGGTTCTCTGCACAGCATTTTATTGTTACAATAGACAATCTCCAAGCTTTGGGGTCCTTTTGTAACACAAAGGTTTTCTGGAAAAACACTACTTTGCCTACCAGTGTACACTATAAAGCACTGAACCATATAGATTTACTCTCAGGACTGAGTAACGGTGGAGGAAGAGGAAGTGCAACACTGATGTCCAAGTTGGAAAATCAGAGAGGAAAAACAACGTGACTAGGAGGATAACACTCACGTAATGACAAAGTCTAGAGAAAGCAGGAAAGACCACACCCAACACAAATTAAAGATGTTTATAGGTAAAAGGAGATTGTCACTAACCAAGCAATCTTACTAACTTTGTTTTATAATACCATCATAATAGGTAATTTTTTTTTTCCACCCAGAAGGGTTTGTTACCTAACTTACACAAGTTGTGTAGGATTAAGAAAGATTAGTTTGTTACTGTAACACAGGTCTGCTAAGACTACGTACCAGGTTTCATATTCTTCCTCTAGCAGGATTTGTTTTCCAGACTGAAGTAGCAATACACAATACCGCAATACGCAATAATGCTTTACGGAAAGAAAAGTCACTACAGTAAAATACATTACTACACACTTATTTCAGTAACTACATGCTACCATACTACATGCTGTTACTTCAGTATGCAGAGCACTAACCAAAAAACCCAATCCTTTGCAGCAAGTAGGATAAACAAAGTGCTTACACAGCATTTCGGTTGGACTCTATGATCTTAGAGGTCTTTTCCAACCTTAATGATTCTATGATCTCTGATTTCCATCATTCTATAAAGGCCAGGACAGCACTTATTCTTTAAACTGCTTGGCATATTGTATGTGGAGTTGTTTCTCAGAACGGCTCTCCCTCAATCCTTTTGAGAGAGCCAAAATAAGCTTGGAGTCTCTTCACAACAGGCAATCTTCCACTGCTTGACTCTTAGAACAAAACACACACTATGATGCCTAAATAACTTTCTCAATTGCAGTCATCTGGCCTAAAGAAGTGTATTTAAGAAAAAATAATTAATAGGCAACAAGATGTGCGAGCAGGCCACCCACGTGGGTATGCAAAAGGATATTTTACAGCAGCGTTGCTCAATCTGTGCTTCCCAGGAAGGCCAGTGCCCCATCACTAGTGCTGAACACACCAAGATCCATCAGAGAGGATGGCCGGCAGCCCGAGCTCCTTCGCTCCTCTCGACCAGAGGGCTGAAGAGACCACCGCTGGGGAAATCCCTGCTCCCCACCCTTCTACTCTCACCCTGAGCAGACTGCAAACACGCTGCGTCCATCCTCCCTCATGTTTCATTTGTTCCAGGCTGGGGAAGAAGTTGCTTTGCAGAGGGGAAACCCTTCACCAAGTTAAAAAGATCAATACAACTTTAAAATTACAAATCAAGCTTATGACACCTGCTCACCTCCTTTTAAGAGCAACTGTATTTGATATACTCTAAACAAGAAACAAAACCCAACTAACAGGCTACTGGAGCATGACCTTTCAACATTAAAAAAAACACTAAGATGAAAAGCTTTTGAAGGACCCATCATTACTGACAGCTCATTTAGCAAAACACTAAAACTCATCAAATAGGTTCTATCCAATAAAAAGGCAAAAAATTCATTCATGCAGAAGACTCGTATACTGAAATCAGCAATATGCAATTAAAATCATTCCACGACTCCTGAGACTTGACTTTCTACTCAAGAAATGCAAGCCCCAGAGTTACATTACCGATTATGAGTATTTTTCATTAAAACACTGAATTATAACAATAAGATTACAATTTGCAGTAACACCACTTTGTTTAACTACTGGATTATCTAGTCCCAAGTTCATAACCAAACAGTATAAATACAAAGCAGTGGCCAGACTTCTTTACCTTTTCCAAAGGAGTTAAGCAGAAGAGACTGAGGCGCATTTGACCACATCTGAATTTCAGTATGCGTCTTACTAGAAAATATTTTGCTTCAGCTGCTTCTTTCAGAGTTGTTTACATCAGATGAGCTACAATGTCACGCACAGATATATAACACTTTATATCCTAACTCATCTTGCACTAGTCAGGAATACATATTACACCTAAAAAACATTTTCTCCCTCCTCTACAGCTGTCATGGTGCTACATCCAAGTTTGTCCCAAAACTCTGATTCTCCGAGACTTGTTTACAGATCTGAAGATAAGTTATTTAGTCTTCCATTCTGCTCCAAGAAAAACTGATCCTTTAAAAAATCAACCACCAGAATAATTAACTATATTCAAATTACATAATCTTCTATTTAGAGAGCAAAGCCAAAAGGAATTGTGTATCACAAAGTCCCCACAATCACAATACAAGGCGAATACAGAATGCCGGAGCTGGCCACAAGCCAGCTCTCCTCAAAATGTAGCACTTCTACACCTAACAGGGGAGTTTGCTCTTAGAGTGGGCATTTATCAATCCGGAGCGTGAACTCCAAGACACTGTTTAAAACGCTTTCAGAGGCACGCTCCGCCACTGCCTGCATCCACAAATAGCCTTTTTGCTGTTACAATCGTAAGAAGAAAAGCGTGTCTGTCTGGGGCAACTCTGAATGGAAGTTTTGCTACGTTTCTAAAAAGCAAACTCATGGTGCTTCATCAGCTACAGCCCACGGGGATACCTACTGCGATCTCTCTCTATGCTGGTAGGATTCTGGGCAATTTTACTAATCTGATTACGCAGGGGAAAAAACATTCAAGAACCTGACCAGCATTCAGATACTAACAGAACACCATGCCCAAGAGATTTTTTTCTTGTGTTTCGCTATCCCTATCCAAAAAACTATACGCATGCCAAAGCAGTCCGCAGAAGTATTATCAACTTCAATGCTGTGGTGGGTAACTGTGAAAAGTCACTTCCTGGCTTCTTCTGCGACTTCGTCATACTTTGTCAATTTTTTAAAAACAATTACTATGCAACAATCCCTTTGGACTTTAAAAAAAAAAAGGGGGGGGGGGGCGGCTTTTAATAAAAGAGCTCAAATTTGCTGAAATAGTTCAAGGTAGCCCAGAGGCACTGAACTTCTTTTCCACAAAAGACTCCAGAACAGAGGACAATGCAGGGCCAAAATTTAAACAAGCAAAGGACACTGCAAGAACTAAGCAAGTTTTCTGTATATTTCATAGCATTTTAGCCAAAAAGAAACCTTGGATTTACTATATCAAAATGGATAGTGTTTGGAGAGACCTTAACAGTAATCTAGTCCATTCCCATTGCCAAAGACAGATCATACATTCCCAAAGGACACTGTCATGACCTATTCCTTTAAAAGAAAAAAAAGAAAAAAGAAAAAAA